TCATATTCGCGATGTGTATACATGCGTGCGTCGACAGATGTCTTCATACATTTTTGTTTTCGCCTAGTGAAACATGTCCCGCACGATAGGTTTTGTTTTATTCTTGAGGCATTACCTTATATGCTCTTCATGGTACCTGTATCAGTGGTTGTGTTTCGAAAGTTGCATCTGTGCCAAAAATATGCAAGGTCTGCGCGTGCTTTTGTAAGTAAGTAAGCGCCTTGGTATGCATCATGCTGTCTTGGTAAAATTTCTGTGACGTAGTTCTATTATAATATTGTTGAGTCATAATTGCTACATTGAGTCAAAATTGCTACATGAAAACATATTAACATTAGCCTTGCCAGCATGCGTCCGATGTGTTCTTGCTAAGTCCGGTTGTGTAGGATGCTATCAATTATTTGAGTGCTTCAATGTTGCCACTTTAATAAATAGCGCCAGCCCCGCCGCGGTGGTCTAGTGGCTAAGGTACTCGGCTGCTGACCCGCAGGTCGCGGGATCGAATCCCGGCTGCGGCGGCTGCATTTCCGATGGAGGCGGTAATGTTGTAGGCCCGTGTGCTCAGATTCGGGTGCACGTTAAAGAACCCCAGGTGGTCACAATTTCCGGAGCCCTCCTACTACGGCGTCTCCCATAATCATATGGTGGTTTTGGGACGTTAAACCCCACATATCAATCATCAAGTCATCAAATCAATGATAAATAGCGCCAGAGTAGGAGACTCGGCAGTGTGCTTTGAGTGGACTTGACGGCCGACATTTTACAGAAGCCATTCGTGTATCGGCGAGCCTGGCTTCGCGACTCGTCCGCCCAGAAGCGTACACTAATTCTTTGGTGATACTTGACGGTGACATACTTGACTCTCCAATAGAACGACGCGTCTTGTTGATATTGCATTGAACTTGGGAAAAGGCAGGGATTTTGTTTGTTTGTTTGTTTCGATTCATAACGGAGCATGGCGAAGTGTCTAGAGAGAGTGAGTGAGTGATTAAGTGGAGGAAGTAGGGAGTAAATGAAGATAATTACGCCTAAGGGCACACTTCTGAAAAAAAAAAGAACACAGGAAAAAATAGGGAAGGAAATGAGAAAGGGGTAAGAGAAGGTGTGGAATGGGGACTGAAGGATGGAAGGAAACAGAAAGGAGAGGTCACCATCTCGTGATGCGAGTGCCCACTTAGCCGAGCGCCATGTCGGCGCACCTTTCACCTAGTTGAAAAACAGATGTGCTCGCGGTGGCCCTCAGAATTGAACCCAGTATACCTCCCGCATCGTAGGGTGACGCTGTACTGCTTTACAACTGCTACTCGATAAAATACAGAATCGCTCCGCCTCTTTCGTTTTGTACTGGTATCATCTTCCCTTCATTACGTGTGAGGTAGGCATAGTTAACACAGTAAGCACTCGGGTCGGGCTGGTGCACATTGATAGATTCGTTAAGTGCAAAGAAAAATGAACAATATTACAAAAAAAGAACGTTTGCCCGGTGTTATTTTTCGTTTTTGTCTGTTTTTCTATGTTTTGGAATCAAACTTAGTTAACCTCCCAGCCTTTCCCCGATTTTCTCTTTATCCGCATCGCTCCTCATGTTTCTGTCACAGAGATTAAGTTGAGAAAAAATCACCATATTATTCATGGGACTTTCTCATCTTATGCGTTCTTTTCTTTTTCTTTTTTTTTTGTCGTCGCTTCTGTATTGGTGTACAAAAACGTGCTTCATTGTTTTCATGACACCGGCTGAGCTGAATCGGCCAGCAGTCTCTGTGCTTTACGCTCCAGCCGCGATTACAAAGTCAAACGAAGTCTCCAGCTCTATGAGCAGTAGCTTTTGTGCGCTTTTACTTATCCCTGCTTCGTCTTGTGGTGGAATTCATCGGGTATATCGAGAGGACACCGAAATTCTGGAGGGCTGATTGCATTAGGCGTCTCTGAGGTGCAGCACGAGCAAAAGCATTAAAACATCGATACGAAATTTATAGAAGAGCTGGTTCGGAGCCAGCATGTGTTTGCTAAAAGCATAGTATACGAGCAAGTTAAGTATACGTGAAAGACTAAATATATTGCGCTGACCCTTTGTCTCTTTCCTATTTTGTACTAGAGTTTTTTTTTTTTTTAACGGTGATTCGCGTAACTTGATAAACCGCGAACAGGACTTCTCATTGGGTGCAGACTTAAACAAAAAAAAAACGGGCCATAGGGTTTATTCTGCGTAGTTAAATGGAGATTTTTGTTTGCCTACACCAGTTATGTATCGTCGTCGTTCTCAGTGCGGCTGTGTTCGACTGTTTTCGACGTCGCTGTGTCAAGGGAAGCAGCCGTTACTATATTGGCTGAGACTGGAGTTGTCGTACTTTCATATTTGCGTGGTGTCTTGCGTCATCTTCATAGACAAATAACGCCCTATGAACGTCTGTTTATTGCGCATGTCGCAGCAAGAGCACCGTTGACTGCGGACATTGAGTGCATCTAAGCAAAAACAATGCAAAAGAAAAACTAAAAAATTGTTTTGGAAAGATGACTGTATCCGCTGAAAATTATTTCGCAACCGGAACTTCGCAGTCAGCGAAGTAACTTCGTGAGTTTTTTTTTATTATTTTTTGGAGGAATTGTGGATTTTCGAGTCGGCTTTCGCGGTATGTGCGGTGCACACAGACCTATAATTGGAACTAAAATGTTTTAAGAGCCGAATGAGTTCATGATTAAAAGACGTACTCCGACTTGACACAACAAAGTGTAACAAAAGCTACTCAACTGTTTCGCCACTTACGCGGGTGGAATCCTCGGTATGCACTGGCACCAAATCGCTGAAAGTCAGCCAGTCTACTCTCGCGCGTCTCTGTTCACATCATGTAGGGGGCCGCGGTTGTCGTTGCGTGCCGACTTCTCGCGGCGAACGAACCACGACTCGAGAAGCCTTCTCTTGCCCCACCTTTGTTCTCGAGCCAGCGACGTCGCATTACGGAAGTCGAAGGCATGCGCCGTTGTCCAGCAGTGCTCGACGAGTTTGGTCTTCCCATTCTATTCATCATCCTATTCACCCTTCCTTACCATAGAGTTTGCAGTATACGTCTGCGTCATATGACGTTATGCATACAGCATGCAGAGGAGAGAGAGAGAGAGAGAGAATAAACATTTATTAATAACAAATGCACACTGAGCCTTCTTTGGGTGGTGCCCTCGGTCCAGGGCTCCATTGCCTTGCGCGACCCTGCGAGCCCGCTGGACCAGCTGCTGCTGTTCCTGCCGGCGTAAGCTGAGCAGTGCAGACTCCCAAGAGGAAGGGGTGGGATTGCGAATGGGAGGAACGCACTGTGGGGTGAGCCGCACTTATTCGAGTTCGCATGTTGCGTCCCCTTTCGTAGAAAATAGTGGGTATCCCGTACGAACTTTGCGATCATCCACGTAGAATAGAAGCGGGAAAGGGAGGGGGGGGGGGGCACTGAGCGCTGCGTGGCGATGCGTCGCGGCGAAGCATTTCAAAGGATGCCGTTGCGAATGAGACAAGAATCGGAAGCCTGCGTGTGTATAGACTCGTGTCATCATGGTAGCTCTCATTTGTTGTGTCCGCAGAAGCCGTTCAACGGAAGCGATGTGTTTGTACGGCATCTTTTTGCGAGCGTCTCTTTGTACTTCCCTCGGCGATGGTATAACCACGTTTTGCGGAAGCCTTCGTTATGAATGCAGTTGCTAGAAGTCCGGGGAGTTCTACTTTGATGAAGAACCGCTGATTAACAAAAGTATTTTTGTTAGTTTCCATTCAAGATTTGTTCTTATATTATAGTACTTATTTCTATTTGATGCGTGCTTCAAGGATCCTGGAGAAGCATGCTGGATGGACAGTCAGTCTATGGAAGCTGGTGGATAACGCTACAAGCGCCTCAAATAATATATTTATTCGCTCTTTTAAATTGTTTAGAGCCATCTCTATCTGCGTGGACGAGGAATTTGATCTAGTGTAGTACCATACTCTCGCGAAAATGCTTCTTGATCGTGCTTAACATTTTTACAGGTAACCTGGGGACATAAGATGCCCGATTCGCTCATTTGTTTTTTTTCATTAATTGGGAACAGTAATCTGAAAAAAGAAAGTTTAATAGAGGTAGTGTGGCACAGTGCTGTGGTGAGAGACAAAGTCATTTCACATAGAATTATGTTTATTGCGCACCAAGCGGTTATCTGGGGTTTTTAAAAGATGTCCAGGGGGAAGTACTGGCTGACGAGGTACGAGAAAGACCCCCCTTTTTTAGTAATTCCATGCGTTTATTTTATTTATTATAATGGCCATGGTGGTCGCCTTCAAACTCCTGTCGTGTACGTTATATTCATAACAGCCACGATGGTCTGTTGGTTATGATACTTACACTGCTGACCCGAAAGTCGCCGCATTAAATCGCTGCTGCGGCGACCAGATTTACATGGAGGCAAATTGTGAGGTCCGTGGGCTTGAATTTAGTCGCAAGGTGATGAAACCCAGATGGTCGACGCTTCTGGAGCCTTCTAATACAGCGTCTCTCATAACCATGTTGTGGTTACTGGATGGTGATACACCGAAAATTGTTATTAAAGACAATATTGCTTCTTTTTAGATACCTGAAGGCAGAAATTTTGGTCTGTCGGTCTGTCACACGGTTCAGCCACTCTCCCAAAGTTTAAGCACTTGCAGAGCGCGCAGCCATTATTGGATGGGTGGTTGCATTCATATTTATGAACTTTCTTGATCAAAAAGCAAATATTACGCATATCTGAGGCGCAGCATCAATAGCCAAGTATTAAGTGGCGTGTTCCTCTACTATAAAATACATAAATACGTAATTCTAAAGACGGTAGTGTTTCTTAGGCTGCGCTGAAAGTATGACGTTATGCGCGGAAAAAGGCCGGCAAAAGACGTCGTCTTTCGAGGACATTCACTACATGGTAATCCTGAATCAGTGTTAACGAATGCTGTGCTTCACTTTGTATGCCTGACTTACATGTGCATTTATCTCTGTCCACTTGCAGCGGGACTCCGTGTGGCAGCGGCTGCGCAGCCAGCCCGTGTGCCGCGCCTGCCCCGTCTCCCGTGGTTTCCGGTAGCATGAGGTAGCAGGCCAGCGCAGCTCGGCGCCTTCCTCTTCCTTCCCGGTCCCACATTGCCACTGACCCGTGGCAATGCGCAGCGCCGTGCTGCTGCCCAGGCCCACCCGGCGGTGGGTGGTGCTGTGCGCCGCCTGCCTCCTCGCCGCCTTCCTCTGCTACACCTTCCTCGGCTCGTGCCGATCGGGCAACCTGAACTTCACATACGTCCCGCCAGAGGTCGGTGAACCCTTTCATTGTTCCCATTGCTATTGCTTTTTCTTATACGAAAGCTCGACTCGTCTTGAATCACCAACTGACCCAATGATCCATTTGAAAGGGCCCCTGCAACATTTTCCCGGTATGCCCCCAAAACACAGCCGATCGGCTGTCAAAGTTCCCGAGAACACGATAGCGATACATTATAGCACAGCACGCAGTGTGGCATTTACAACTAATTCTCATAGTCGAGCTAGAAGTCGCTCGCATTCTTCTCGACAAGTGATACAATATGAGCTCAAACGACCGCGCCATAAACGCAATGTCTGCGGCCATTGGCTAATTTTAGCATCGTGAGCCGCGCAGTTAGCGCGGCCGCCGCGTGCTGCCGCCACGTGCATGCGTGCTCGCTCGTGATCATCCTGAAAGTAAGCTGTATGATAAAAAATAATGGTGCCGGATCTGCATGTTACACTCCAAATGTCGTCGAAAGACAATTGTCTTGCGTCTGGAGGGAGTGAACAAAACGTTTATTTGTGGTTCTGCGCAAGAAAATAGGTGAATGGTATTCTGAAGGCGTTAGAGTGCCTCGAGCGTGCAGGGGAGGCAAACGAGCGCATCAAGTCACGTCACACGTGAGACAAGAGCTCTATCTAGATGGCAGTTATCTTGGAAAACAAAGCGCGTGGCGCGCGCGCCCGTCTCGGAGGTGATAAGGTGTAGAACGCAAGGTGACGGGTAGGTGCCGCCACCGTGTCGTCTTAGTAAAGCGTTGCAAACCCTCGCCTTTTCGTGCAAGCGTTGCATTGTCAGCGCAGCGTGATAAACGCTACGGTCCTTAGAATTACTTATGTATGCCTTTTCTAGTAAAAGGACACACAAACAGAATATTGAAGTGTTGTTATGGTGCCTCAAATATGCGCAATAATTGCTCTTTATTTGACAATCGCACAAGTATGAACGCAAAATCTTGAGCAATATTGGTGGGCGCTGTGGATGGGGTCGGCCGTTTGGGGTATCCGTTGGTGCCGTTTGAGGTATCGTTAAGGGCAGACAAACAGACAATCAGACAATTGTACAGACAGACAGAAAGACAGACCAAAATGTTTTCGTCGAAGGTCCACAAGAAAGACTATAGTCTTAAAAAAAAGGGGGGGGGGGTGGGGGCTCAAGGTCATGACGCGCGTTGACGCACGGACGTAGCTTCTCGTCTACCTCCACCCGCTCTGCGCAGCTTTCAGCATGCTCGCTGGTACGAAAGAAGAAAAAAAGTGCTTAAACATGACCGGGATTTGGGGACATTAAGGTACCATGATGCGTGTGCCCCCGCTCAGGCTGCTGCCACCTTTTGTACTGCTCACTCCACCATTGAAATGCCTGCAGCATCTTCGCCAAGCTGTAGAGCTCACGTGCCAGCTTTGTTTGGCACGTTTAGCCTGGATTTTAAGTTCCTAGGGGCTACAACCATTCGCATTAAGCTAGGGGCCACTACGCGTCAGAGGAAAACCTGTATGCAGTGGGAGAGATAATGAATAATGGCCGCCGCAGATGTCTTCACTCTGAGCGGAGGAGCGGGTATCGAGGCACTCTAGGGGACATGTGCACGTAGCGCCATCTTTCCTCAGCCCCAGCAGTGGCCTGTCGTGACTGAACTAGAAATGGGAGAAAAAAAAAATCTCACAAAAAAAAAGAAAACCTACAGTTATCAAGAATAACTTCTGGTTTTATACAGCAGAGACTTGTTTGAGCATTCTGGCAAATTTTGGGTGTCTCACTACAAACTGCGTGGCTTCCCAGATGGTTTGGTATGTAACGATGTGACCCCATGTGTTTCTTATTTTCTTATAGGTGGTGTTCAATTACCTTGGAAACCACGCGCTTTGTATCGCGATATTGCTATTTCACCAAATTCTACCTTTGGGTCTCTGCTACATATAACTCGTAGTCGGTTTTCATAAGAAGCTTTTTTTCAAGAGAGATGATTTTTCTCACTTATTTTCTACTCAGATATGGCAGGCGGCTGAGAGATGGCGCCATGTCCAGATGTCCTCAATTATGAGGAGTGTCTTCGACAAATCCCTGTTACTCGATGATGACGTTATCGAGTTTTCAAAGCGAAATTTCTCAATCTAAACCATTTCATTATTTTTCTTTGGTGTCCTTTTAGGTGACAAAATATTTGTTTTGATCTGCCGAGCAAACTTGACAGTAGACGCTGCGAAGTAGGTTATGCTTCATCTTGGGTAACAGCGCAAGACAGGCTAGTGAATGCCATGATAACCTTCTTAACGTGGATACGCTTGCCATGATCAAAGAGGTCATGTTGGTGTGATTGGTTAGGTCGAGTATAACACTGAATAAATGTGTCAGCACTAGAAAAGGAAAATTGATGAACAGATATCTCACATTGAAATGCTCGCGCTGTTCCTCGATGTTGACGTGTAACCGAATCGTTCTAATGTCATTGCAGTAGATGTGTTGGTTGTGAATGTGCAAGTGTTGCAGGCTTTTAATGGACTTCATGTTGTCAAAGCTCGCCGGAGGTGTTCGGGCTTCAGTGAGCTTGGAATAAACTGCTGATAATTATGCTGACTTCAACGATGAGCGCGTTAGCGCTATCACTACCTATAAAGTGAGACATGCCGTGACCATAGCCCTTACTTCCAGGGAGAGTTGCAAAAGTGCGTGAATTGACTTTCCGTAACTCGAGGGGATGGCTGTCATCTTTTCTCTCGTCACGCAGCGCTTCGTGTGGGGCCGCAACATGGAGAAGATCCACTACGACCGGCACATGCCGCTCATCTTCATCGGCGGCATGCCGCGAAGCGGCACGACGCTCATACGCGTGCTGCTGGACGCGCATCCAGACGTGCGCTGCGGCGAGGAGACGCGCATCATCCCGCGCCTGCTCTCGCTCAAGCAGCAGTGGTCCAAGAGCCCCACCGAGGTGCAGCGGCTCATCGAGGGGGGCATCACCGACGACGTGAGTTCTTTCTTTTTGTCTCTCTTGACGGCCTCCGTTTGTTTCCACGAAAAAACGGGGTGCATGAACTTCATTATGTGCAGCGCAGCCAGGCACACTACGTAGTTTCTGTGGAGCACCTTATTTCGAAACCCTATTTCTGCGTGTGTAGTCAAAATTCACGAAGTCTGAGAAAGCGCTTAAGCCCTCCTAGCAGGCATATGCGCATACTGGGTTTTCAGATTTCCTGCATGTACTGCGCTGTGGAAACATCACATTTGTGCCATTGTACAGGACACGGTTACTGACTTATGGATAATTTAATGCTTCTTATTTTTTCACATATGATGGTCCAGGTGGCACCCATTGTTCATTTTATACGTAAACAGCAAATATGAATATTGAATCGAACGCAAATGCCCTGGGCGACTTCGATATGAAGTACATTCGTGGTGCATGAAAAATGACGGTGAGAGATATGGAAAAGTCTAGTATACTTATTTGTTCGCTTTTCAGAAAAAATTCACTGATTTCTTTTATCTGAAGAATGCACTGTTGTCTTTGATTTATTGAGCAGCAGCACACCTAGAAATGAAGTTCACATCTGTTGGTCCATTTGAGCTGAACCTGCCGACTCCCACAAGGAGAGCGATGCTTCGGGCGAGTTTATTGAACACCATTTAGCTCGTCCAAAGCGCTTCTTTGCCTGTCGTTTTAGTTACTCTCCTTCTCCGTTCTCACAAGGATATCACCTGTCCTGGGGAAAATTTAGTTTTGTAATTACCTCATAAGGGAGAATGGGTTCAGTTCTCCTTCGCCTCTCAAATCACTGCAGTGCAGTGACATGACAGATGCTACACACGCAGGCTTACGCGCTCAGTTCGTGTTTTGTTAACAGCCAGCACAAAGCAACAGAAACTTTGGCATCAGTGAGGCTCGCGTTGGTGTCGAGGCTTAACCGTCTGCCTGCTATTTTGTTATGAAATGGATATTTTGATTTAATGTTTGCTATGCAATGAATAAGTCTTAAATGCTAGAATGAAGGGGGGGGGGGAGCCTGAAGCGTTGTTCATGCAACCTAAACGGCAGTTTGTCTGATTTTTACCGTCACGCGGGCTTCTACTCTACCTATGGTAGAGTGCTTGAAATGTCCCAGGGGGACCGACTTCTACTGTTTCTGTGTGGAAGGTTTCAATGTAATGACCCATTCTACCATTGTAAACTAATTTCTTGCGTGCTCTAATGTTTGTATACCTGGATACGACATAACCCTCTTCATGACTCCTCTGTGAGTTATGGAGTCCTGCCTTTAGAGAAAAGCTGATGTATATGTCTTCTTCTGAATAATAGACGAATTGAATTAGAGATGAAACCACGTCCTTGCTCTCTGCCCGTTTGTACGCAGGTTATGGACGCTGCCATGACGGCTTTTATCCTGGAGGTAATTGTGAGGCATGGCAAGCCTGCGCCACGGCTCTGCAACAAGGACCCGTTCACGCTGCGCGCCGCTGTTTACCTGCACAAGCTGTTCCCGCAGGCTAAGTTCCTGCTCATGATACGTGATGGCCGGGCAGTCGTCCACTCCATCATCACGCGAAAGGTGCGTGCCGCCCACTGTTTTCCTGCTTTTGTTATGTTATTAGGCTTACGAAAGGGGCCAGAGGCTGTGTTCCAGTTCTAGACAGCATCGTAGACAATCTACGCTGACAGCTAAGCAGACAGCATCGAGCCCATGTTATCCGAGAAATTACGGCTGCTACGCGATGAGGCGCCACCTTGCTTCAAGAAGAGAAAGCTAAGATGAAGAAACGTAGCTGTCATTTTTTTAGCTCATGTCGTGTTACAATCTAAGAAAAATTTGAACGTTACTCACATTGAAGGTTTGGAGAAAAGTGTTTGTGTGCCAACGACTATTCTGGCAAGATCCGAACTATTGGAGCGATTCGCTGAGCCAACATCTTGTTTAGACAGCAAAGTAGCTTGCATCGTATTTGTCTATGATGTCTCGCATTTGTCTACGATTGAAGCTGTCTATTTTTCCGGCTACGTGGGAGTTTAAATGGTACTCAAGATGGCCGCTCTTAACTTAGTTGTCTATTTAGCCGTCTATGGTGAGTATTGGAACACACCCAGGGGCGTGAAACTTTAACTTAAGCTCACTTCACGTTTGCAAAAGAGGTGGTGTTTGATTCACAAGTTTCTTTGCGCGTTCGAGTATACTTGGCAGAGATCTTTGTGTGGTGCCGTTTTCGAGTTCTATGCGTGTATGCGCGTACGTGCTTATTTTTGTGATTGTGTGTGTGCGTGGGCTAAAAAACATTTTATTCATTCGTTTCAATTGCACTGTCTCAAAGGCAGAATGCACAAACTTTTGCCCGGACTAGTTACAACTAAAGTACGTTCTGGTAAAAAAGATGCTTCGCCGCATTAAAGATAGCCGTACAGCGAAGCTCGCTTGCTGATGAACCAAATTTCAGCACTGGCCTGGTTTATTGTCCTGTAGTGGACTACGTTGTGTTGATTGAAATGCTCTGTTGTACTGCCAAATGTTGAAGAACTCTTTCTGGTGAAAATAAGCCGCCAGCAAAAGCCTGTTATCCATTCCTGCTTTGCGCTTTACTGTAATAATAGAAGTGAATTACTGCACTGAGAGTAGCCTAAAGTGCTAGACACATGGTGCGATTCGGCGTCTGATCTCATGTTCGACTCCCCACGTGGCGTACGATGATTCGAGATTACATGCAGTGGGCGACCGATCAGCTTGAGGCACTGTTAATATCCGGTGCCTTGGCATGCACGTTCGCAACCCATAGTGCCCGCTTGATAGAGTAAAATCACACTTGCGCTACCCTGCTTCATTATATATGATTGTCACTAAAGCTACACCTTCGTGAGCGACAGACATCGTAACAGTCCGCACGGCTCCGAGTGTAGGCCTAGCCAGCATACGCTGTCACTAGCATTTGCACAATCAGACGCACCCTCATCATAGAGCGCTTACTTTTGCCAGCGTGATTAAGACTTGCACTTTCATGTAACACGTTTAAATATGCAGTTGGCTTTCTCGGCCTCCTCAACATCAATACCAAAAAAAGAAGTGAAGCGAGCGGGTTCGCTGAGACGGCTGGTGCCACAGTTTACTTGTGCAGAGGCCTTCCGTCGCGGCTGGACATTTTGTTAGTGTTTCGAAAATGGTCGTCGCCTTGCACAAATGGCAGACTTCTAACGTCACTTTATTTAGTCATAAATTGTTACATGTCAGAAGCAATGTTTAGCCAATGTTTGCATGCCACCATCAACTGTGATATCGGCAAATGCCAGTGTGATTGGTGCCACCGGAGCGGCGACAAATGCACCAGCGACACGGATGCCACCAGAGGCGTGACATCAGATGACTCTCGCGCAGACATTGGCTGTGGCCTTCAGACCGACGCCGCAGCCGTGTGGCTACATTCAGCAAGTATTATGACCTCGCGGCGTGCAAATCGCCTTCAAATTCTGTTGGAAGATAATGAACGCGGCTGTTGGCCCGTGCAGCCGTACATCGATTCGCATTCGTATTCGTACTGTTTCCAGCACTTACCAGGGAAGCACGCTTACTGGCCAGTTGAGCTCTCCAGCGCAAACTTGTTCTATGCTCTTCTTGGGAACTCTGTTGTTTTAAAGTAATGTTTTGTCGCACAAAAAGTACCCTAACCGTGAAGCACACTCGCCGGGGAGTACTATAGCTCTCCAGCACAAGCCCTTCTTACTCTTGTTGTGGGCAAGTGACGTCATTCATTGGTGGATTCGGAGTGACCCACGAACTCTGTGTCGGAGCACTCCACTCTGGCAGAGGGCAACAAAAGGGAGTCCACCAATGGAGCACACGTGCATCCTTCTTGAGCAAATCGCAGGGTGAGAATGGAATGCGATGTCCGCGTCTCTCTTCTTGCTTGAGTGAGCATGCTGAACACAGCGACACAACAATAGCAAAACGTGATCTCCGAAGTGAGGCGCAATTGAGGCGAGTGGTGTTCGTTGGCACGCCCAAGCGTAGCACTGTTTGAAGGCACGGGACGCGTGTGACTTCCGGTTGAATCCGCCGATTTTTGCGGAGTACAAAAAGTTGCTCCGTGGAGTGGATCTCGTGGCGGGTCTGTTCCAGATCTGCCAATGGAACATACAGAGAGCACCCTCAATCCGCCAATGGAATTGACTTGCTCCGCATGGAGCAGAAGAAAGTATTACCGGAAGTGTTCCGAATGTGCCAATGCATAACACCACAAGTTCTGTTAAATGAGATGCTTTCCCGCAACAAACGTAGCCTGACAGTGAAGCACGCTTGCCGGGAAGTATAACGTTCATGCACAAGCGTGTTGGTTGCTCTTGTGGACTAAGTTGCGTTAAGTAACATGCTTTCCCGCAACAAGAATTGTCTGACAGTGAAGCAAGCTTGCGGGGGAGTATATCTCTTCAGCACAAGCTCGTTGGTAACACTTGTAGACTAAGTTGTGCTAAGTAATATGCTTTTCCGCAACAAGAGTTTCCTGACAGTGAAGTACGCTTGCCGGGGAGTATAGCTTTCTGGCACAACCTTGTTGGTTACTCTTGTTGTAGACTAACTTGCGTCAAGTAAGATGCTTTGCTGCCACAAGGGTAGCCTGACAGTCAAGCACGCTTGCCGGAGAGTATAGCTCTCCAGCACAAGCCCGTTGGTTACGCTTGTTGTGGACTAAGTTGCGTTAAGTGACATGCTTTTCCGCAACAAGAGTAGCCTGACAGTGAAGCACGCTTGCCGGGGAGTATAGCTTTCTAGCACAAGCTCGTTGGTTGCTCTTGTTGTGGACTAAGTTGTGTTAAGGGAGATGCTATCTCGCAACAAGAGTATCCTGACAGTGAAGCACGCTTGTCGGGGAGTATAGCTTTCCAGCACAATCCCGTTGGTTACTCTTGTTGTAGACTAGCTTGTGTTATGTAATATGCTTTCCCGCAACAAAAGTAGCCTGACAGTGAAGCACACTTGCCGGGGAGTATAGTTCTTTAGCACAAGCTCGTTGGTTACTCTTGTTGTGGACAAAGTTGTGTTAAGTGAAATGCTTTGCCATAACGAAGGTAACCTGACAGGGAAGCATGCTTACTGGCAAGTTTAGTTTTTTAGCATGATCACTTTAGGCAATCCTTCTGTAGACTAAAGGTACTCTGCCGCAGTAAAAATAGCCTGAGGGTGAAGCAAGTTTCCCATCAATATAAGCCGCCAGCAGAAATCTGGTTGTTGGATCTGTGTCGAAAGCTTGATGGTGTCAGCAGTGCTCGGGACATGTGGCCAGAGCAAGGACTCTTCGTGAAATTTGTGAAACCGCTCACACAAACGCGCACGGCATTCCCCGTGCGTCGGAACGAGATGTTTGGTTCGACGGGCATTCAAAAAAAAGAAAGAAAAACGATTTTTTGAGCCGGGGACGCGTAGAAATGCATCAAAGAGAAAGAAAGCTGAAGAGCGAATCGGCAGAGGACGCATAACAACAAGCTGCGGCTACGAACAAACTTTTCGACCCCTTGTACCCACTGTCTATACCTCTATTAAATTTGTTTTTGTGTGCTTTCGTGTAATGTATAGCAAATTTGTATTGTATTGAGCAGGATCTTATTGTGCATCTGAAATCTGTTCGATTGTGAAGTTATTCATTTGTAGCGACTGAACCTGTCTTTTTACGCACACTATGCTGAGTTTGATGTCCTACCCACATGCCTACTCTAGCTGAAATTACGTTGAACATTGAGGAAGTTAAAATTGTCATCTAAGTTTTAGATTGAGTTAATTTTTCTTTACGCTTAATCAAGGATACATGGACACTCAGCAAACACTAATATGGAGAAGCATGGCAGGGTCGAAGACTTTCCCACGGAAACAGCAACAGACTTCTCAAAGATCTGAATATGAACTTGTTAAGAAGGCGGCATAATTAGGATACATTGAAATCAGCACCATGTTTGATTCACCATACTATGTCCTGTACGCCACAGGCTCTAATCATCTTGCTGTGACATGAATATTGCTTATGCACTCGCCTTCCTCATGGGTGCAGGTGACGATCACAGGCTACGACCTGTCCGACTACCGGCAGTGTCTGAAGCGCTGGAACGCCGCTATGTATTCCATGTACAACCAGTGCCAGCAGCTGGGGCCCAGCATATGCATGCCCGTGTACTATGAACAGCTGGTGTTGCACCCCAAGCCCTGGCTGCAGCGCATTCTTGCTTTCCTTGACGTGCCGTGGAATGATTCTGTGTTGCACCACGAGCAGATCATCAACCAGTCGGGCATATCACTCTCCAAGTAAGTTATTCCTGATGAAGCTGCTGCATTTGATAGTACTTTGTTCCTCACACTACATCACAGAAACAGAACACAGAGGCGTAGTTTTGTCATTTCCCTGTGGAAACAAGGATGGGGTCACAAGAGTAGCCACATGGAAGCCGATTTTGTGTAGCTGTGCTTTGCAAGAGTAACATAAATAGACGAGTAATTGTTTGAATCAGAATTAAGAAATTAATTTATGCAATATTCAGAACCAAATACCAGTCATTAAACCTCCTAATTAAGGAACACTAAAGGGAAGACCTTTCTTCTTGTATTGTTAGATTACTCTTACATAATAGGAAAAACTGCCCTGCTTACTGCAAGAAGGTGCTTGATAAGTGAACATGCACAAAAAAGAAAATGTAGGTGGCGATGTCACTTTGAAGTTCTCGCACTAGTCACCGTGGTGTCATTTATTTTGATCGTGTCTGCTATTACTATTGGCTGTGATATTTAGCTATAGGTGGCAGTATCATCGCTGCATTACTGTGTATACGTCGCCCAGTGTGGTGTGCAGAAGTGTAGAGGCCTGCTGTTCCTATATTGTCATTCTGTGCACTGTAGTGGATTAAAACCGTTTCAATTTCCAAGGAGAGGTATTGTTCAGTTCTGCGATGCCACACAGATTGTACAAAGCCAGAGGTAAGCTTTCATTCTTATCTGGCAACACACGACATCATCGAGAATGTGCAGATACAAATCCAGTGGTGAGCTTTCATTCTTATCTGGCAACACACTGGCAACACACGACATTGCCGAGAATGTGCAGATACACACCCAGGTACGCAAATAACAGAAATAAAAGATTTTCATGAAGCAGGTGCCACATAAAGGAAGAACTTAAAATTGAAGAGCTCATTTTTATTGTTAGACACAATACTAATGAAAATATTATGAGTTCCTAATAATATTGTTTCTACCACATAGCTAAGCGATCGTTTCATAATGCTTAATTTTTCAAGGTCTTAAGTTCCTAAGATGTCCTACTGCTGTGTATTTTGACTAGCAATATAAATTGAGTATTGAGAATGTGTTTGTCACTCTAAAAAATTAGTTGTGAAGTAACTGTGCATGCCATTTCTTATTGCCTTCCTAATTCTTGTTAATTATTTGTAAATAATCTTCACAGTACATTTAGCGCTGCATCAACTAACCACTCATTTCTGTGCCTTTTTTTTCTTGCTCAGGAGTTATTTAATTTTTGCCAATAATGTATGCAACAGTGTGTCCAGCATTATTATTAGCAGCGAAACTCTTGGAGTCATGCACTCTTTTTTTTTCTTTGTGCAGCTTGCCAAGTATCCGACTAGCACTGAAAACTGCTCTAATAACACTGTATTGTGGATGAGCTATATTCATCCTGACCTTGCCTATAGCATCGCGTATTCATTCAGTTCAAGGGATTGACATGAGCCGTTTACATTAGATGTTCACCAATAAAACTGAAAACATGTGAAAATACATCTGAGCAGGCTTTGAATAAATGAACTGAAAGCTTTTAACTTTCTGTGATAACTTTCTTCCTGTTATAGTATAATATAGTTGGCAATCAATGCTTTCGTTCATGCTCAACAAAAACATTCCACAGTGATCACACACTCTACTGAGCTCGAGAAAAGTGTAAAAGTAAAGAGAGGTGAAAATATAGAAAATATATTATGCATTTTGCTTTTGCTTTCTTTCAGTGATGTACCAACTAGCTGGAGCTTGTAGGCTGTTATTGACAGACAGGAATCATGCTGACTAACATTAATTCGGGTCTTTGAGAACTTGTAGTGACTACCACAGACCTGTCCACCATGTTGTAATGCTTGCTGCTGATGATTTTCTCCTGTGCAGGCTCGAGCGTTCCACCGACCAGGTGATCAAGCCAATCAACCTGGAGGCAGCTGAGCAAGTGGGTCGGTCCAGATTCCCGAGGATGTTGTGCGCGACATGGCCAAAGTGGCACCCATGCTGTCCGAGTTGGGCTACGACCCGATGGCCAACCCTCCAAACTACGGTCGACCCGACTCATTCGTGCTCAATAACACGCTTCAGATCAAGCGCGAGACAGCCGAATGGCGCGCTCGAGAGCTGGAGCTGGCTCAGCATCGCGATGCTATTCGTCGTGGTGCCATTAGACGCAAGGTTGAAGAAGACGCTTTTATTAGGACACCCACACCTTAGGAAAAGAAACTTGTGCGTGACTTTAAAAGACTTGAATCTGTGTGACTCCCGTGAGCATTTCTGTCTTGGAAAACGACAGTCCCGTCATTTTTGTAAAAAAAAGAAAGACGAAAAGACTCTGAGCACGCAGCCACCTTCTCCAGTCACGTTAGTGCAAGTCGCGTCTGGCTGGCAGCTTTACTTTATGCCAAATGGTCGAATGTACAAGAAGTCAGGTGTTCTTTCAAAGCAGCTTTTTTCTCAAATATTACCTCATAAGCTTGTTGTTTTTTTAATATTGGATATAAACATGAGTTTAAGCTTTTCCAAGCTTGCTTTGCAGACAGGTCTGTCAAATGGGTCTCGGGATGAGAAAAATGCGCATTGTGTGAGATCTTTTGAATGTCTTTAGTCCGTTTGCATGCATTAATTTGTTCTTTAATGGATCTTGAATATATCCAACTGAATTCACATGGTGTCATTAGACAAGCTGTTGCTTTGTAGTAACTTGTTTAACAGATTACACTTGAACATGAGTGTAAACCAGCTTCATGCTGTGTATTGTAATTCTTCATTTACAAAGTACAGTTTAACTTTTTAAACTTGGAAAGAAGGAAACAAATACAGATTGGTTCCCTAGCAACATGCAATGTTGCCACAAAATTGAAGCAACTTTCTGAATGTTGCATCAGCGATGCATCTACATTTGGTGCTGCAAGGGTTACTCTACTAGCCCGTCTGCTTTGTTTAAAAGCAGCTACATCATCTTTGATCTGTGACACACATAGCTGGCCAATCTTGCTTTGTTTTTGCTTCAGTTTTCTTGAGCAGCTTCGAACTGTGTCAGTCATTTGTGGAAAATGTAGACACGATGCTGAAGGCAATGTTCAGATGCTGTGTCATCACCCTCACACTGTGGTAATGGCGTAACTGAAACAGTGCTAGGATCTGGTGCGAAGCTTTTCAGCTTTGTGACTGCATTACCCATTTGCTGAACACAGTTGGATCATGTCCACAATGAAAAGAGTTCCACAATGTGCATATCTCGATCTGAGCACACATCATTCATTAAAATTTCTTTTTGCTCATGAAAAGGTGCATTTAAATCGCAAACCTCAAAAGTTTGTGTATCTGACTGTCTCTTATAATACATTTACTAATCTGGAGAATCTCATTTTTTATTTATTTTGAACATTAACTGCTGCGCAGCCTGCACATTTTTGAAAACTTAGAAGCTTTATATTCATACCGAAAGTTGGTACCAGTACTTTGGTTTTATCATTCATCACATTTATAGCATTGCAGCTTGTAACTATATAGTAATGCACTGTGCACGGTGTAAGCATTAAATTTAATGCAAACTGACTTGTAAGTTTTCTCGTCAGACTATATTTTTGAAGTCAATGACAAAAAAAGCTGTTTTATGCATATAACTGAGAGTTTTGTTGAAAGCTTATTGTACAGGAAATATCTGAACACATACTTCAAGCCCAGTTGTGCAAACATGAAAAAAGCGATACTGGCTTATATAAAGTACCTCTCTTCATCATATGAAATTTTTTTCACTCATTAATGTCGAGGCAACTAATCTTGAAAATTGGCCCTTTCAGCTGTGTTATCACAATCTAGTTAACTGAAAGGAGTCAGTCTGGCATACGCCCGATCAAGTTAATATTAGTACAGCTGTTCATTTGCATTCTTCTGTACAAAAAATGATTTTTTGATAGCTTGGGCTACACTTTTATGCCAAACCACTTCAGTATTTACAGTTTTAAATAGCAATGAATTGGAGGCAGTTTAAGCACTCTGTAATTGCCTTACAGTCTGTCTGCACAGCAGTTGACACTCAATATTTAGGAAACCACTGGCAAACAAAGGGTGGTTGTGTCTATTGAGTCAACAAGAAAATAAGTCTAATTTCTTCCTTCTTGAAAATCGCTGTGCTATAATTGTGCCATCACACACGGTTTCGCAGTGCATTTCTGTCTCAGCGGAAAGTCAGAGCTTATGACCCGAATCAAGCATCTCTCCAAACACGTGTGATAGAGCCTTACTATGTAAATAGTGGTGTAAATCAAAAGGTATGCATGATACAGTGCAGCTGTCCTATTGGTGTGCTTGTCCGAGCCCGTTAGTATTTCTTTGTTATTCCTCTTCGCTTTCCTTATGTGCTGGTTTTTTGATGCTCTTTGCTGAACCATTGTTTCCTTTTTTTTATCAACGTTATCAGTTCTATCTTCGCTCAGGAGTCTTTGCCTTTTATTGACACACTTGTAGCTGTGGACAGGGCATTCTCTATGGGCATATACAACAAACACTCGATTCTCCTGGGCAGTGTTGTCATGTGTCCCAATGTAGGCACAAATTCTGATTGTCATTATGCCCTAGAAGGAAGTTACGTGTGGACGTACGTTTTGTTCAGGTATGAAACGCTGACATTATTGAGCCAATAATGACCTCTTTGCTGTCATATTGGATAAAGCGAGATCATTCCATTTTGCTGGGCTTATGTCCCTGAGCTCTTTTTTTCTGCTCATGTTTCAGTATGAAAATAGGCTCAAACATGTTCCTTTCGCAAAGACTGTGATTTCCTATGTACCTTCCTGCCACGTTGTTGGTAACTCTGTTCTTGGCCTGATGACAGTTCTTAACACTCATGTTCTTTTTTCTTCTTGTTTTTTAAGGAAAGATGCTCCTTTCATTTTTTTTTGTCACCCCTCTGCATTTCCTTGCTCACTCCAAAGATGTTTGGGAACGTGATGCTGCACTTTTAGAAAGAGATGTGCACAAGTTTTTTATACACCGAGGCGAGATGAAGTAGTGTGTAGTGTTTATGCATGTATATAAATATGTGCGTAGAAAGGCAGGATGTCATCATCTATTGGCCTTTGCTATTGTTCAAGAATGATGAATGCAAAATATTGTTTCTTTTTCTATCTTCTGGATGAAGGCATTGTCCATTGCTTTCAGAAGCTGTAAGACTTGATTTTGATGTTTTCTGGCAAATGTGCCAGACCTCTTGGAAATGGTGGTGGGCCAACTGGCGAAAAATTATTGTGTGCAGCTTGGACTGTGGTTGTACGAGAATTTCGCACGGATGGTTGGGTGTACTATATCAGGGTGTGCGCCCCCCTTTTTTTTGTCTTGTACATGCTCTTTTTCTGAAAAGCAGTACTAGCTTCTGGGTAAAAGTTAATGCTGGTGAATGGAACCGTTGTGTGAAGTGTTGTTTACAAAAAAAAATTTCAATGAAAGCTAGAAAAAAAAAAAGGTGAAAGCATAAAGATAAAACATGGAACTAGGATGTCTGAAGTGGTGCTTAGATTTAGCACATTGTGTTTGTACTTGTGGCTGTGCTGCTGCCTGGGTGTTTTGAACCGCTCGGGCTGTTTTGAGATGCATACTAAGTATGCCTAGTGGTATGGTTACTGAAGTGCTTAGAATGTTACATGAAAACAAAAAATGTGTTTTTAAAGATGCCTGAAGTGGATGTTGTTTATAGCTCTACCAATCTACTGAGTGAACAGTAGGCTGAATACGATGTACCTCAGTGTTTGAGCGGGACATTTCAGCTAAATGTGGTTTAGCTATAAGGAGAGATGCTGCACTAGAGAAGCTGTGTACATTCAAAGTACAGAATTTCTAGTAGTTTGCAAAGGACGGTGTAGATCTTGTTACACCTGAAAGCATTGAGGTGTAGTATTTGTTCTCAAGTGCGTGCTTGTGCAAAATTTTACAATTTTTTGTCATGTGCAAAACTGTTGTGTAGATGTTGTTGCACACTCTTTTTGTTTATTTTCACCACTTTACCGGTGCTTCAGTGCACATATTTAGATATTTGATGTCGTTAGATTGCATTATTTTAAAAACTTTTCTTTTGTATGTGGGCTGCTACAATTCACTTTTTCTGCAAGAGCTAACTTGGTTATTGCTAACCACTTGTTAAACCGTAGGTAATAGTATAGCTGATTTTTCCGGGTGGCATATGTGAAAAACACTTGCTACAGGCTAGCATCTTTTATCTTCTGTGAAATGGCCTATTCAGATGCAAGTTTGCAGCCTCTCTATGCTATTCACTGCATCTGTAAATGCATCCAGAGATATCAACGCCACTTGTTCAGAGGAAGAAGTGAATCGTTTGTTTCTTTTTTTTTTTTGTTATTAGAGGTGGGGTCGAACGATCTTTGTCTACAAAAGTGAAGACGTAAGATATTAGGAGATGGAGTCTCAAGTACTTGTATTTCTCTGTATTTTTTTTTCATTCTCGAAGTGCGAAAAAGTATCTGTTTCCAGTTACGGACACAAGCAAGTGCCTTTGTTCCGCCAATCCACATATCGTGTGTGCCAACACTTCCTAAAAGTACCGTGTGACTTTGACAATACAGCTGTGCTCTCCATGTATTGTCCTCCATGGCGCTGAAAGTCTGGCTGGAAGTGGGGTTCTCCTAGAGAGCCCAACACTTCGTGATTGGATTATTGCCATATAGCATTGCAGATCAACCATTCCTGTGATGGAGGCCCACTGCTTTATAGGCATTCACAGTTCTAAAATAATGAAAGCTTGAACTTGTCCTCAAAGGGGCACTAGTATCTTCAAGCAATGTTGTAATGTTTTATGCTCTGATAAGCAAAAGTAAGCAACACTTCAGCCTTAGTTTTATGCTGCTCTATTTAATGACTGGAAGCTCATCTGTTGCGCGGTGCTTCAAAACATTTTTCATAAATCACAGCGCAACATAGATTTGAGAAGAGCCATCATGGCAATCTCACACTAACATTTGCACACTCTAATTAAGTCACGCACTACTTGATCACGCACTGTGCTTTTTTCTGTGTGATGATCCTGGTGTTGTCAGCACTGACATAGAAAAATGAGACTGTCTTTAATATCTGCTTTTTCTGACCTTAGAACATCTCTTCAAGTATGTCTTGCAAGTGTGAGCAACAATATTTACTTAGTGTGTGTGCCACATTTTCATGTTGCCAGTACTGTTGGGACATTTATCAATCAATGGCCGTGGTACGATTAAAGTATGTGAGCACGGTTCTAAGCAGTCGGACCCCTAGCCAGCCAGACTTTATGCAACATGGATAACAACTTCATAGAACAGGCGCAACACTGAGTGTTGACATTGCTCTAATGTACGCCAGCACAGGGCTGATTGCTTCATTCGCTTCTTCCTTTCGAATGTGCCAGTAATGCTGTGTTGTGCACAACACTTGTTGATATTTGATGAGGAGCCGTGAACTATAGAAACACAAACACGCAATCAATTGCGGGTTTCTGCAGCTGTCGCACTCTCAGCACTGCATTTGTCGC